CTGCTGCCCTGCCTACACTCTTGTCTCAGACACTAGAGAGCAGGGGCTCAGATGCTGCTTGCTCCCACCCTGACCTCTCCTGCAGGGAAGGAGCCAGCCTGCAGTTGGGTTCCCAGATCTCCCCCTTCCTCCTTTTCTCCCCGTCTCTTTCCTTCCTGGGGCTGTCAGTTTAATGGACAGGTGTTTAATTCCAGCCTGTCAGGCGCCTGGAAATGCCAGCATCACTGCACATCAGTTTGTGGAGTTTGCTCTTAAAAGAACAGCGAGAAGCTGAACTCTGCTATCTACGTCTCGGCCCTCTCTCTCTCTGTCTCCATCTCATCGGGCAGATATGGCTGCACCTTTCTCACTGATGTTTTCTACCGGGGCAGCCGAGCTCAGGGAGGCTGGCGGAGGACTGCAAAGAGCTTCTCCAAGTGCCTCCAATGGAGAGCGGGTTCCCAAGTGCTAGGTGTCATCAATTATGTCCCTGGCACGTGCTGGGCCTGCTTTTTAACTATTAAAATCATGTAATAGCTAAAGCACACTGCTCCCGCAGCCCCGGGGGGCCAAGAGGCAGCTGTCAGGTTCTCCAGCCTGCATCAACTGCTTCTCTCCTCTGTACCAGCCCTGCTCGGGCATGAGCCAAGAACTGTATGCTCATCCTTGGCCTGGAAGATACACGGAAGCATCCCCAGGCATCTGCTCAGAGAGCTCAGGAACCTCGGACACGGGAAGCGGAGCACGGCCCAGAGTTCATCGTGTAATGTTACCCCCAGCAGGACAGCCGCAGGGCTGGGGGAGGGACAGGCCAGAAGTTGGGAAAGGAAGACCTATCTTCGGAGGGTAGGGATGAAGCTTGAAGCCCTGGGTCAGAAGTGGGGGTCTCTGGGACATATCCATTGCCCAGAGGACAGAGCCGGACAGCCCAGTTTCAGGAGGCAAAGGCACCTGAGTGGCATCTCAGAGGGGCCGTCGGGCTCACCCTGGCACACAGCTTCCTCTCTACTTCTCCTGCCCACCGTGCCCACTTCCCTCCTCGCTTATCTATTTCTTTTTGCTTTGACACCTCCTACCTGTCCCCCCACCAGACCTCCACCCACCCATATACCCCAACGAGGCATCACGGTTCCTAACGAAACGGAACCACTGCCAGATGAAATATATTACTATTAAATACTTAATTCTTCTAGTGAGCAGAGAGCAGGCAGTATGAATACGATTATTAAAGAAAATTACTTTGGCTGATCAGATATTTCTGCATACTAATTTCTGACCCCTCTTCCCTCACTCCCGCTTCCTCGTCCCTCAGAGACCAGGACAGATAAAATTCCATCACAAATAGCTGATTACCGAGGCTTGCATTAAAAATCACATTTTCCCCCTGCCTCTCTCTCTCACTCTCTCTCTGTCTCGTGCCTTCTCTATACTGATGTCCTTGCTGGAGAAGCGGTGTCCCTAGATAGCAGCAGCCACTGGACAACATCTAGGGAGACTCCGTTCTCTCCTTCTCTTCCTCTCTTTTCACATTGGTATCGGCACGACCACTATTTCAACCAGTTCCCCACGTGGGCAGAAGACCGGGCAAGTGCCAAGGACCCTGCTCTCAGCTTCTCAAACATCTCACCCAGCCTCTTGCTCCCACGTTCTGTGGTTAAGAACATGGAGCGGCTGCCCATCAATCAAGATGGCCGACTTTGTACCTGGCGGGGATGCCCTGCTCTCAGAGAACAGGAAGTGTGATCAGAGGCCCCGCCCCACAGGGTAGGGACTTCCCAACTTCAGAGCTTCCTGATTGGTTGAGCTTTCGGCCTCTTTGTAAACCTGTGGGGAATACAGAAGGAGGGACTTCATTCATTCACTCATTAAAGGCCGCAAACTTATGCGTGTATATAGATGTATAGAAGTGTCTCCAATGTCCAAGTCAGAATCACACTTGAACATTCTATGCCTTGATTTTCTCATCTGTAAAATGGGAATAATAGCATGATTGGTTGGAGGATTAACACATTAATATACGCAAAGCACTTTGTTCTAAGTGGCACTTAATAAGAATCATATAAAGATTAGCTATCAATGCTATTATTGTTATTATTGTTATAATATATGTATCATATGTAATTTAAAAATGTACTCCCCACCCACCCATGAATGATTCCTCCCCATAATTCTCCTATCAGAAGGAGCTTCTCCAGGCTTCTTTCCTAGATTCTCACTTGGCTTACTTAGGTTCTCAGTGCCTCCCAGGTCCCCTTCACAATGACCCCTCAATAGCACTGTGAGCCCCTCAGCCTCAGTTCAGGTCACTGGCACCAGAGCAATTACCAGGATTCTGGCAAACCCGGGAGGTGAGGGGAATGTGCTAAAAATACACCCATTCCCCACAATCCTATAAGCCTTCAATTTACCTGCTTTTATAAAAAGATGCTTCCTTAGGTGTCACCAGTAGAAGGTATAATTACAGCCTGGGAATGTTAATTCCCTTGCTCCTGATATGCGGATCACTGCTCTGTGGGGCTCCTGTCCTCCTCAAAGCCTTGGGAGGGGAGATGGGCAGGGAGCGGGGAGGAAGTCAGGGGGTGGGAGGCAATGCTGGGCTTGGAGGCCTGCAGGGACCTACCCTTAAACCAGAACCTGCTGGCTGGACCAGTGTGTGTTTTTTTGGGAAGGGTGCCCTCTCATACCTGGCTACTCTCAGGAGCCCCTGGGGGTGCTGGGGCTGGAGCGGCTAGACACACAGGACAGCTCTGTGGGGAAGTGAGAACCCCGGGTTCCAGTGGCCTGCCTGTCTTCTTGCTCCCACCCTGTCCCCGTTCAGTCTATTCTCCACGGAACAGCCAGACGAATCCTCTGAAAACTTGAGATAGAGTCCCTTATCTCACCTACACCATCACAGGGGCCTCAAGGCCCTACCCATCCCCCTTCCCCGCTGTATTTTCTTCCTCAGACCTCAGCAGCACCTACGATTGGACATGTTTTACTTCTTTGTTTTATTTTAGTGTCTCTCCCTAAGTAATAAACTCTGCGAAGACAAGGGTCTTCATCTGTCTCGTTCCCAGGGCTCAGAACAGTGCCAGACACATAGTAGGTGCTCACTTGACATCTGTGCCTGAATGTGACTCTTCAGGAAGGATTTGCAAGCAGAGGGAAGAGTAAGTGCAAAGCACAGAGGCCCAGGAAGCCCCCCCCCCCCGATTTGGGAAAAGTGGGTGGTTCTATACACTTGATGCACCCCGTGCTCATGGACAAGAGGAAGAGAAGTGAGCTAGGCCAGCCTGGCAACTTTGTATGGAGAGATGGCAGAAAGGAGAGCTGCCATGATTACATTTGTGTTTCTGGAAGATCCTGGGGGCTGGGGAGCGCATTAGGTCTCCCCAGAACCGGAGGCAGGAAGATCAGGAAGGAGGCTACAGGAGGGAGAGCTTGAGGTCCTGGGCCAAAGCAGGGGTGGGGTACACGCAGGTGCATTTTGAAGAGAGGCACAGGGGTCTGGAGTGGTAAGCGAGGGGGCAGGCCTCCTCCTCCTTCTCCAAAACATGTCTTCCTGCTCCCCAACCCCTGCCAGGCTGTCCCCAACTCCATCCCTGTCAGTCACAGCTCCACTCAATCCTTGCCTCTGGCTCCAGTTCCTCTGTATCGCACCGATGTCCTTTGAATGACTGTCATTCCTCAACTGGCCACTCTCGTCACTGCCTGTCTCTAGTGGCATAGAAACATTTTCCCAAGGCTTTTCTTGTGAGCTTCGTGAGGGTAGGGATTG